GCTGCCGCCGGAGACTGAGGTTCAACCCACCCACTAGGCAAGCTCCTGCCTGCTTCAAAGCACAGGCCTCTCCCCCACGGGCAAAATACATTTCACAAAGATCCGTGCTGACACTTTTTAAATATAGCAAATACCTCTCCTCAGTACGTTATAATCACTACAGTTTAGTGAGGGCCACGAGGAAAACCAGAAGCATCAAACATCCACCTGGAGATGGAGGAAGAGCTGCAGAAGGGATAACGGCCTCAGTAAGGGCTGCCGGCACGAAGCCACGCGCACTCGAGACACCGCCAGAATTGGGAAAACCATCCAAAAACCCTTCTCACAGCCTTTCACACCGTAACTTCCCCTGTGTGGATGGAGGATGCTGCTAATCGTGTATTATTGGTTTTATTGTATTCAATCCCCCTTCACTGTGAAAATCATGAAATTTTAGGCTTTTGGAAATGGCATTATAAGGCTATCACTGCTTAAAAAGAAAGCTACATTTAAACATTAAGAAAGTTTTCAAATTTCAAATAATTACGGATTAATAACAGAGCTTCTTTCTGGCAGGTAGTAATGCTGTAGCACAGGCAAGTTTTCTGCCTTAAAACTGAAAAACCAGAGGTGGGAATAACTGCTTGTTCACAAGGAGAAAACTTCAGAGGGCTACAGGTTTGGTTTATAAGCAAGCATAAAAGGCTTTCCCAGCTACATTCCCACAGACTTTTTACAACAAATATGTTCAGAAACTGAGACTTTGTAGAAGTCTCTATCTGAACTGTAACATGCTATTTCTTCCTTTTTACCAGACTTTCAAAAGCAGTAAGGTTATTTTCACAAATAATAGCCAGAGAAAGAACTTTTTCTATGCTCTATCTTTGGTTCAGTCCTCTCCAGACACTTCATAATTATTATCTGAATGTATCATTTGAAACGATATGGAAGTGCTCTGCCAGGTAGAAAGGAAAATGTGGAAAATGATCTGTTGCTGCCAATAGTTTTGCTCACATGAGGAATGGGTGCCAGGGTGAGAACTCTCAAAGTCATATTAATGCTGCTTAGCTGGGGCCTCCGGAGATCACGAGTCCAAGCTCCTGCTTCGCCAGATTTACAGCCGACGCTACGCCAGGCAGCAATGGCATTTTCTAGCCAAGCCTCAAAAGCCAAGGATGGAAATTCGACGGGCCTTTGGATAGCCCGTTCCAGTGCCGCGCTATCCTCCTACTGGAGTTTTCCTCAATGTCCAACCTGAATCTCCCGAGCTGCAATTTTTGGTTGTGTGCCTTAAAAACAAAACCAAAACTGTCAGCCATTTTAGCTTTGCCATATTTGCAACCTCTCTTCAAGCGGTTGTGGGCCCGTTATTAACCAGATGAGCCTTTTTGCTCTCCCTCCCCTCCACACCAAACAAGCCCAGCTTGCTCACCCTCTGCTCGTTACCCACCACCAGCAGCACGTGGAGCCTTTGAGGCTGGCAGTGCAGGCAGCTTCCAGGCCATCCTGCAGTCTGTCCCTCCAAGCCACGATTCCCCAAGAACACAAAGCAACGCGTTGGAAGCACAAGGGTTTGCTCTCCTGATCGTCTTGCAGAGCTCTGAGCAACCAGCCCCTCATGGGGTTGTCTCTCGGCTTGCCCAGGTAGCGCGGCGTGGGGCTTTCCGGGTTGAATCTCCAGGACACATTCAGCCTCCTGCGGTTCCTCAGTGCTTTGACATGCCTATCTGAAATCTTTATGTGATTCTCCAAGTATTACTAGTAAATACACAAGGAGATGTGTACATATCATATATATACATGCACACACACCAATATGTCATCTGACACCCACAACAACGTCGCAAACCCATCTTCTAACTAGAAATCCGCTGATTTGTACAAGTATTCATTACCTTTATTAGCAAATACAGTAAC